ATGATGTGAGTTGGATTTTGATTTCCTATTACTGGGTCGACTATACCCATCCATCCCAGAATGTGCTCACGTGTTCAGCGGGAATTAGGTTCTCTGTAATTGAAAGTCCTCTGCTAGATTCCTAGTTTTCAAGAGTCACACGTGTATGTATAAACAACGCGTGACGATCCTAATTCGGTTTCGAAATTCACAGCAAATTCATACACATCTGATCAAGCTCAGATGTTTTAGGACGTGTCACGCTTGTTTTGGACCGATCCATTGCCCATACGCGAGAAGGTAATCTCAGCGGTGGAATGCTTCACAGTCCCGAAATCAATCAGCGTTGGACGGAACTGTATTAACAGTGGTGAATAATCCCTCTGGATTTGAGGGTGGAAATTCCACCCCCCAGAGAAAAAATTCAAACGAAAATTCGTTTTGAATTCGCTAAGGCGGATGATTCATTTTCGGATGAAGGAAATGTGACCATGAATGAACTCCCGCAAGTGGAACACACCGGGGAACGAGATCGTATGTGTCAAGAACCGATAAGCCCTGTCAAGAAAGACTTGGAAAACTCGCGAAATTTGGTTGAATGATTAGGTAAATGCTAGTTTGTCACAATCCCCCGCAAAGTAGCAAATGAACTGAACGATAGTTTAGAATGTTATTGGGTATGAAGTTCACCATGGATTCGGTTGGTGAGCGACGCGTTTCAATCAACTGTGCTGAGAAAGAACTTGGTGCAACTGTCCAGGCATTTTAGCCATTAGCTCAATGCAAACATGACGAGTTTGGCTTTTGATTTGACTTTATAAAGTCACACAGTTCCAGAATTGTACTCAGATACACCATTGGTGGTAACCAACGCCTGGATGAACTCAGGTGCGGAGCATAGTTTTGCTGAAAATACGGTTGTCACGCTAACCAAACCAGCTGAACTGTCACCAATTCAGGAGAGACCTTTCTAGGCAGAACGTTTATCAAAAATATACCTGAATGCTTGAAAAATGTTTGATTAAGATGCGCAAATTCCAACAGCCTAATGGTAGCCTCAACGTAGACTAATGCACCGCATATTCATTGTTCTGTGGAAGCGTGTGAGTGTCTATGTTAATCCGACGAGATATTTTTTTACCGCATTCATGTTCGTGTTCGAGTCCCCCATTGTGTTTTTGAGTCACCACGTCAAACCTGGCAAAGTTGCATACGAACGATCGGTTGTCTGTACCCTCACGTCGCATCTAATTGGATGCTCTGAGACACTAGGAAGCCGCTGACCGAATTGGTCAGTTCATTCATGTCACATGACCAAGGAAGACTCAGCGTTCGTACGGTATGTTTTTGATAGCACGGTACAGGGTTTCGCAGAAGTATAGGGACTGCCTCGGCTGTAGTCAAGTCACGCCGTTGGATCGATACTGGCAGCCTATTGGGTACATGGTGAATGACGCGAAACGACCTATCCGTGATTCATCATCAATCGAGGTGACGTCATCAGTGCGCTATTGGAGAGCGTTGTGGTGCGTAGCGGTGGGTTAGTGGTTGTGCAGATCAAATCGCCCAGCCCAGCGAACAAGCCATGGACCATCTACGCTACCTGAGCTACGAACATTTTTCTCATTGGATATGTATGATCTGATGGCGAGATCCCGAAAACATCAACGTTCGTCACTGTGTTCTTGTTCAAACCATGGGAGTATTTAAGCAAAGCTGCATACACCAGTTCCCCAGCCATTTATCGTTTTCCCCTACAAACTAGTCACACAGTCCAGGGGCCAATCAGGAGTTCCAGATCTGGTGACAAAGACTAATGGAAACGTTCCCCAGCGTTCCCGTTTGCTCGAATAAAAACCCTGCTCATAACAGTCCGTATCACAGGTTTCACCTGGCATTCTCTGTCTCAGGTTAACTGGCTTGAGTTGGATGGAAAGATGGGTTTGAGTGTCATATTCATTTCCACCGGGAGTTGAGTGGAAAGATAGAAAACTTTGTGGGATATCGAAATACCATATAATACATACATGCATCTCCAAGGGACACATTACTGGTGTAATGGTGATACTACTGATGGGTAGGCATGTGAGTAGTATGTGTTGTTCTTGGAATGTCGCTTTGCGTCGCTTGAAAAGGGGAGATCTGTTGCGGAATTTGTGGAGTCGCTTTGTAACATTTGCTTGGATTTGAGCAATGAATGATTCGAGTCAATGAATATCCAAGAAAGTTCAGGAAGGCGTGTTCAAGAGAAGATGGATGTTTAGTTTCTGTAAACAAGATGCATATGAGAGTTTTGCTTCCCTGTCGAATAGTCTGTAACCGGTCAGTTGGCACCTTCTAATAAGCAACTCTGCAGCGAAGGCCTTTTTCCTTTCACTGATACTGTTGTTGAATACTCTCTTCCAGACCATGATTAATTCCGCCCTTCTTGGGACAAAATTACCTAATGAGTCCCAAGGGAGAGGAAACCGGCCGTTTTAAGTAAACTTGTGAGTAGTGTTTTTCAAGGAGGTATGCTGCATATCTCAAATATAGTACCAACTGAAACACCAGTTGTCCCTCGTGCAGCAAAGTCATTTGAGGGATATCATAAACTGGTGTCAGCTGAGAACATCAAGCAAATTTGTAAATGAATGTATTTCGTCAAGAACATGTTTTTTTTTAGTCTAGCGTTCGAGAATCCATACAAATACAATGAGTAAATACAAACCGTCAAAATTCTAGGAGTTGCCTTCTGAAAAGCAGAACAGTTAATTGGAGCACTATCCAGATTGGTTGTTGCCGAGAAAAAACGAACCAAAACTGGATGTATACATCGAGAGTTCTCAGAATGGCGGTCACACGACCGCTGTATATACACGTCACTCTACTTGTCATGCCTAGATTAAGCACCCCGAAGGTCAGTTGAGGGTCTCGTCGCATTGTGTTCAGGATCAACGGGTCGGCTTATTTCAGTTCATTTTGACGAGCCTGTAAGCAAACTTAAGTGAATCCGCCAGCTTTTCCAATTTTATCTTTTTGTGAACCGTTGTAGTTGAGATGTGTGGATAGATTCCTTTCATTTCATCTAAATGTCACAATTAGTTCCATGGAAGGTGCACTTATGACCAGGAAGTCTCCTTGAAGAAACAGTTCGAAATGAGACTCCGTTGCAATACAATCATACGGTTTTGTCCATTCATTCGGACGTGCCTAGGGAAATCTAGCTGTGGGCTCATTCATACTCCAAGAGGTAACATGAGTGAAACATTTCTAACAACGCATAAGCAAAAGTGACATGTTGCGACGGTTTCAAAAAGGTTACACTGCTATTTTCGGAGGCTCATGTCTACCTCAGCTTTCCCAATCAGTAGCTTCCAGTCACCTGCGTAACTATTATCGTACCGCTTGAAAAAATTAAGGGCCAAGACTAGCAATTTGCTATCATCAATTTCTGTAACCAATCGCAGGTTCACGTGACATGCACACGTGTTTAGCATATGAATAGTTTGACCAGTTGGATCAGCTACTTTAAAAAATATATTGCCTAGTTTGACCAAAAGGCATCACGACCTTTTCTGTTGAAAGATCATGTGCTTTATCGCATATTTTTCCAGTAGGTTTACCATCGCATGCCCATATCCTTTTTACACACTGTGGACGCGTCTTGACCAGTTGTTCCCCGATTTAAAATTTTTTGAAACAGTTGAGGTATCACGCGCAGTCCTGAAAAATGATTGTTTTTAACGCTTCTGAACCATTCATATCACTTTGTCTGAGAAATCCCCATTTATCAATTAAAAGTCACATCGTAAGGAAGATGAACTGTATGATAACTCCTCATGAGCATGCTGAAACATGTAACTGGCATGAACGAAGTTGATCGAAACAGCTAGCCAATCAAAAACTGTGATGCAGCCACACTGAAATTCAGGACAGCGTGTTAAGACGTGAGTGATAATCCGGTCAGGAAAAAATCAATCTGCACACAAGGGGTCTGTGTACAAAACTCGGGTCTGAAAACACAAGCGGCATTTTCTCTCGCACCATACTAAACTCAGATTCTTAGAGACTTTGATGCCCTGGGTTTTAGTTTACGAACTGGTCTTATAGAATGTAAAGGGTGCATTCTGCGTCTGACGAGGAGAGAGGCAAAAGCAAAACTGTTTGGGTTGCATCGCTGACCCAAGCATAAAACAGGAGCTATACGTTGAACACATGACCTGACAACTCTTCATTGTCTGACCAGTGTACCCATATCCACGGGATCTGGTAACCCTACAAACAGAAAGCGAGTTGATATTATGAGGAAGTTTGACTGATTACTGAATGGATGACCACATTCGAGCGCGTGACACCGATTGTTCCAATAAAATTCTTTCATGGTTGCTCAAATTCTTCGAAAGCGTACAACCGGTTTCATCCATCTTGGGGCTTATCAGGCAGGCGCAGTCCCCGAGTTTTCATCAACCTTATGTTCTACTTGAAACCAGATTGCACGAAATTAGCGAATATACACTCATTTTCAGACTAATTTCGTTTTTCGAGACACTCACCTGGAACTCAGCTGGATCTCTCGTTCGTGATGTTTTTAAGCAACTGAGTGCGCTGCACCAGGCCGCCTCATGTTTCAGTCGCCACGATATTCGAGATATCGCGATACATGTATATTCGTAAAGCACTACTCATAAGGTTGCTGAGAATTCCTCGACATCCCACGACCGAGTAGTGAGATTGTGAATGTACATGTCTCGCGATATCTTGAAAATCATATCCGAGTGAGCGTTTATCTGGATATCAGGGGGAAGCAGAGATGTTTTCTTAGATGCGTGAAATCCGGAGGAAGTACCCAGCTGCCATAAAGGAGAAAATAGAAAGGAACAGTGGCAGCTCTCATACCTGTATAGTTATGGGGAAGGGTAGATTTCTCATGGCAAGCAAATAAACCATCCGGTAAGTCGAATGAAGTGAGAAATCAGGCCATATATACCAAATTTGAGTGACATGTTATACGCGCTAACTGGTTTTTCCTTTTTTTGCAGATTTTCCCATGAACGTTACAATTACTACTCACGGATACGCAGCATCTGACTGAGTTACGATGGCGAAGCAACCGAAAAAGCCACCAGACACTTCGTACAACCTTCTAAATCCCAGTCACTTCAATTTGTCTGCCCTTCTTCGTTCCGGTCAGTTTTATCTGGATGACTCGGGACTACTGGTGGCCCCAAACGGTACTCGATATCGCATTCCATCTGGGCCACCCGAAGGTCGCAAACCTCTCCGACCTGATCGACCAAAAGACCTAGTGGTCAAACCGAAGCCCAATCCTCTTTCTGACATGATTGATCAACCTTTCTCGTTGGAGCAACAAGATTCTGATCGTCTGACACACATGGAGCAGTCATTCCAGCCCAAAGTGATCACAAATGCTACGCCAGCCAAAACACTTATCAACAAATCGGATAAACTTGGTTTGTATTCGCACACGGAAACAACAACTCTCGTGTCCCCGGTTGCCATCACGGTCGACTGGGACGTTGTCCTACTCACTTTAATATTGTGTTCCATTTCACTAGCTTGCAATCTTGGCCTAGTCCTACTGTTATCCCGGAAAATTTGTCACATCCGGAAGCAATCGTCTAAAATTGGTGTTTCAGTCGATCCGGATGGTAAACCATTCGACAGCGGATTTGCCCACCGTAACAGTCTGGTTGGCTTCGATTTGCAACAAAAAGTCAATCGTGAGGACAAAACACAGGCAGGAAATTTATGTTCCTACGTAGCTTACGAGCATTGCAAAGATCCGATTCGAAAACCCGTGCAAACCTACTTCATCGATCCTCGGCTAGATTCCGACAAATTGCGTCATCGTCAGCGAATTCGACGAAGACATAAAAGATATACAAATCGACGTGGTCGGCTTCCAGCAAACCATGCTAGCCACATTCGTGGAAGACCTAACCCGGTAGAACTAGCAATGAATCGATTGTCGGGAAGCCTGTACGACAGAACCGAACAGGGTTCAAGTTCTGGGAGCAGCTGGAAAGTTGTTGTCAGTGACGGAATGATAAGTGAAACAACCGGAGACGAAGGGGAAACAACAGAAGATTCCGGAAACAATTCTGATGCATTGGTCCATCTCCGGCGCAGTTATTGGAAGCGTGGTTACCGTACCATGGGACCGAATACAGTGTATCCCACCAGATCATGCCGTACAGAAGCCAAGTTGGATATACAACGTCAGTTGGAATCGGAGCAGCTTCCACCTCCGAGCCTAAATTATCGTCTGGATACCATACGATCCACAGGAAACCTATCATCGAACAGCGAGGATAGCATCTCTACACTTTCCAACCCCAAATTACCACATAAAGTGTACTCTCAACTATGTGCAAACACCGTATATGTGTCACACACATTGGGCATACACTACGCTTTGTTGGGTGTCTTGCTATCACTTGTCCAACTCATCACAGTGTGTTCGGCACTTAGTCGACGAATGACTCATTCGATCGATCAACCTGGGAGCTATCTAACTGAAGTAACCTGTGTACTTGCCACTTCACTTGCAGCCGACACGGTGCTTTGTGCTAGGCAGTACCTCATCGCGGCTATATTGGCCGTGTTCTGGACCACGTTTGCTTTATCCCTGTTAAGCCGACTCCAACAAGCCAGTGGTATGAAGATACTTATTTCCTCATTGTGCACGTCTACCTCACTGAACAAAACAAACTATACAGATGGGAAAATAGGAACAAGGAGTGGCGACCTATACGGAACTACAGTGCAGGGTCAACAACAGCAACGGTATGCCTACCTGGCTCTGGTGCACTCATTGCCTTGGGCGGTGGCCGCCGGGACAGCTCTAGTTATCACATTTGCTCTCTATACAAACAATAACAAAATCAATGGCCAGTCTCCAAATGACACGGAGATGTTTCTTAAACTGAACATATTTTTTAGAGGTCTTGAATCACTTCTGGTCTGTCACGTGAACCATGAACAACAGTTGACACAGGTCGACTCAGAGAGTACAACAACCACGCTTGTTCGACAGACCACAACGAACTATGTTAACCGAGAACAGGAGGAGCTGGTGGAATCTTGGGTGCCATTGTTTCTGTTAATTCTATTGCCAATTTTGGCACATATTCTTATTTGTTTGATATACTCAATCTTTTTACGTGTTGTGGCGAGACGACGTATAGACAACAAAGAGGCTGTACCACTGCCGTCCATGGTGAATGGATCCGCCTGTGGTTCCCTGTGTGCAGTGTTCCTCCTCATTTTCACTGAATTTGTTAGCTGTGCCATTCCTGTGATTTGTTCCATCATATTTGCACATCCGCTAGCCCGCGGAAGAGATTCGTCCATCTATGTGAATCGATTGATTTTGCTGCACTTGTTGATCGATCCATGGCTCATTGCTTGTATGATGCGTTCTTTCAGTGGAACAGTGGTCGTCCGCGCCAGCTCGATCGAGGGGACACATCCACCTAAACATTCAGTGTCACAATACTCTGATGTGGGTGTAGGACATTCCTTCAGTACTGACAACACCCGCCCTATTGCTTTAGGTTCGAACCCGAACCAAGAGGATCACCAAAAGAATCTTCTATCCACAGAGGTTAGGAAAGTCTCCGATGGGTTTGGGAATTCACCCCTGAGACTGATGGACTGCTTGCCTATCATGAATCAAAACTTGCAGTTACAAAACAGTGATAAGGGAGTGTGCAAGCTAACGCCACCTCGACCTGTGCTAATGTCTTGCTTGCCCAATGCGAGCCTACTTGTGTCTGCTGTTCCTAGGATGGAAGCGCGTTCGGCCGGTGATGATGCAACCAACCCTGAGTACTTTTTGCCCATCCATACGTCTTCGATACCCTACTCTACGGATATGTCTCAGCTCCGAATGCCAAGCTCAAGTCTGCCACCTCAGCCGTTTGAATCACATCTATCCATTTGCCAGCCATCGCTGGACGTTTCCGCTCAGAACTTCACACTCTCAACTGTTTGCACACAACGTCAGAATTTGCAAGAAATTTTTCCACAGCTCTGTCAACATCACCAACAATTGTTGGATCAACATTACAAGTCAAGACCACAACAGCCAGTGACAACAGTTTGTCACTTGAACAAAAACTTTGGTAACGTACCTCGGATGATGCAAACGAGTATGCAGTTTTTAGATTCATTCAAAATGAACCCGATTTCAAAAACAACAGAAACGGACATCTTGGCACCGGGGTGTGTCACAAATCATTCACAACAACTGTCCCCGGCTGACAATTCGACCACAACCGATGACTCCGTACAGCACCAATTCTCAACCATACATCGTCAGTATTCGGGAAAAAGTACAGCGACCGCTGCCGTAATGGCGGCAGCCGCGGCCGCAGTCGCTGCTCAGGCTGGAACAATCAATCGTAGTAGTATCACGGGTTCTAACAACAACCCACCACAATCCATGACCCCTGAAACAACCGATGCTCAGCTCGACAGTAAACCAATGAATCTGGGTGTACCAGCAACACCATTGGCTGGGGAAGTGAAGTGCAACGGTGACCCAACGTCTGGCCCACTATCAGCTTAGAACAACTGTACAGAGAAAGCACTTTTATACGGAAAATTATAGAGTCTAGGTAAATTGGCCAAGTGACCTTGGCCACTTGTACAGTATTGGAGTTGTTGTTTTCCATTCATGCTTTTCATCAAACAAATATGCTGAAAGATAGAAAAAAAGTTGTTCTTGTCAACCCATGTGTCCGTTGAGTTGGTTTCTAACCGGCATAGTTCAGAAAACTTCACACTCTCAACTGTTTGCACACAACGTCAGAATTTGCAAGAAATTTTTCCACAGCTCTGTCAACATCACCAACAATTGTTGGATCAACATTACAAGTCAAGACCACAACAGCCAGTGACAACAGTTTGTCACTTGAACAAAAACTTTGGTAACGTACCTCGGATGATGCAAACGAGTATGCAGTTTTTAGATTCATTCAAAATGAACCCGATTTCAAAAACAACAGAAACGGACATCTTGGCACCGGGGTGTGTCACAAATCATTCACAACAACTGTCCCCGGCTGACAATTCGACCACAACCGATGACTCGCTACAGCACCAATTCTCAACCATACATCGTCAGTATTCGGGAAAAAGTACAGCGACCGCTGCCGTAATGGCGGCAGCCGCGGCCGCAGTCGCTGCTCAGGCTGGAACAATCAATCGTAGTAGTATCACGGGTTCTAACAACAACCCACCACAATTCATGACCCCTGAAACAACCGATGCTCAGCTCGACAGTAAACCAATGAATCTGGGTGTACCAGCAACACCATTGGCTGGGGAAGTGAAGTGCAACGGTGACCCAACGTCTGGCCCACTATCAGCTTAGAACAACTGTACAGAGAAAGCACTTTTATACGGAAAATTATAGAGTCTAGGTAAATTGGCCAAGTGACCTTGGCCACTTGTACAGTATTGGAGTTGTTGTTTTCCATTCATGCTTTTCATCAAACAAATATGCTGAAAGATAGAAAAAAAGTTGTTCTTGTCAACCCATGTGTCCGTTGAGTTGGTTTCTAACCGGCATGGAGAGTTCAGAAAAAAAAGAACAAGGCTGGTCCCCAGGCAGAGCCATTCCATGCGAATTTTCTTCACCAAGAAATAATCGTTCAGCTGTGACATCCATTCAGTGTCACAAGAAGAAAGCACGAGGGTTGAAATACTTTTAGGAGTTCAAACCTAGACAGGAGCCGTTGCGTTACCCGTGTTCACCTCGAATCCTAGACCTTCAGGTCAGTAAGTTCGAACCCTAGCCACTGAGCTGGCTCGTACCCAATAGTTCGGTATCGACAGTGATGCCAAAAAGCAATAAAAATCATTCTGATGAGGAATCGTCTCCAGTAAGTTCGAACCCTAGCCACTGAGCTGACTCGTACTCAATATTTCGGTATCGACAATGATGCCAAAAAGCAATAAAAATCGTTCTGATGAGAAATCGTCTTTGCAAATGAGTGAATCCGAATTCATGCCGAGGGTTACGTAAGTCTCGGATGAAATCTAAGCAAAAGTGTTGTAAATTGTTCAAGCTTTCAGCCACAGTTGCCATGGTTCTCAAGGACACATGAGTATATATTCTACTCGAATCCAGAATTATCTTCTTTTCTAGGGTGTGAATAGGCAGGCGGCATCGTCATCTGCCAAGTTTAAATCGACAAACCTTACAAATCCCGCTACTACTTGAAACTCGTTAAAATTTGCCTCCATATTTCTGTCTTTGCCTGGCTGAAAATTCCTGAGAGGCGGGTCACTTGCTCCACAAAACCTGGATATCTACTGGATCATTGTTCGAGGCGTCGAGCAGATCAGTCCCACAGTCAATTGTGAGCAAGTTTTCTAGTTCAGATATGCTAAAGCAGGTACCTGCAGCAAAAGCTGGGGAGCAGTGATAAAACAACAACATCGGGTCCAAGCTTCAAATCGCGGCACGGCAAAGGATATGCCTTGCAGATGAGGTGTACTGGAACCGAGAGCTAATTTCAGAGCTTCCGAATCTTTGATGTGAACTAACCAGAATTATCGCTTCAGGACTAAATAAGTAGTATGACCACAAGTTCCACAACCCTCCAAACTAAATGTAATTAAATTGTCCTCTTGCTCAATTGCTTATTTGATCGCGGAGGTGGCCGTTCTGCTTCAGACAATCGGTCACCATTTCGTGGAGCATCTTCACTGCGTACCGATGGCTGATCCAAATTCGTTTTCGGGTATCATTCGTCCAGATACAAGGAATACGCCATGATAATCGTTGTGGCGAGAAAGTTTGGAGTACCACTCAGTGTTGAACTTGAAAGCGTTCTGACCAAAGCTGAACAAGAACGAATTGAAAAAGACTACAATAAACCATGCTGGGGACACGGCTGTATTGCCAGGACAAAACATACAAAGCGTCTGCGTAAATATATAGGATGACTAATTGGTCAAATATGGTCGTTCACTTGTTCGTTCCGTACAGCCAATGGTGGTGTTCCGGTCGTGAAAAATCTCGAACCCACTACGCTGGTCGTGTGCCGCTAAGCCGTTTGGTGAGAGCCGCCAACTAACCTAGTTTCCGGAAGTGTTGAACCGATGGTGACCTTGAGGATGCTTCACTCTCTGCACATGTGCTTTTTCTTCTGTCTGGGTGCGCCCTGACACTTCCCCCTCTTTGGGGTAGATCGTACGTTGGTCCCTCCCCTCGAGGTTTCAACAGAATAGGATGGTAAATTGCCCAGCCTCTCCCATGGTGCAGTCGTGCTGTGAGGAAAAAACAAATCTCTCTCTCTAGCTTCATTCCTTCAACCCAATAAGATCAGGACTTTTATCAAGAATGTGCTTTACATGGGCCTTTTTTGACACTTCAAAAGGTTGTGGTCATACTGTAAGTATTGTCGCAGTATGCTCATTCGCGTGCACTTTCAACTCAAATCTGAGATGATTTGATGCTGGAAAAAATGATGAAACGCAGTTGGGATAAATGGTAACGCATCTGGTTGTTCCATTGTGTTCTCAGCGTGCGCTGATCCATGAATGACGTAGACGGGCGTACTTTTCACTGAAAACTTCAAGCTTTGAAGTATCAGATCTTTATCTCTTCCAAAGCGTCAGAGGTGTAAGACACATGATCTGTCGTAATGGAGAAACAATCTAAACCTGGCCACTTGTATCGCCTCTTCAGGGTGTTTTCTCTTCGTAAGTGTATATCACAGCAACAGGTAAACCAGTTGGGTGTCGAACCCCGTTCGAGCCAGTAAGCTCGTAGCAGAGAACCAAGTCGTACAATTAAGTTCCCGTGCCCCGTGCATGGTTGGCTGACGAACTGTTCACCCGTCCACGTGACTATTGCGCCTGCTCATTGGTCTGAAGAGCACTGCGTGGAATCAATAGAATATTTAACAAGTACGCATCGTTTCCTGGACAGCCCTAAGCCTCATAATAGTTGACATGCGTCCTGCGGTGCCCCTTTCTTCAGACATGCCTTCGTTTAGCTGTGTTTTCTGATGCGGTTCAACTATTTCACATTTATCGTGCACCAAATTAAGCTACATGTGTCCTTCGATTTGTGCTGCGATTTGTCAGTTTTAGTAGTATTATCGCTGGTAAAACCGCTGGAAACTTCAACACAAATTAGTAGGTTATCATAGTTTAAATATAATCTCGTGAAATTCAGTCCCGCTGATATTTGAAATGAGAAATACAATTAAATTTTGTTTTTAATTGAAACTTGACGTGATCAAATCTGCCACCGGCCGCCATGATAATCATTGTGGCGAGAAAGTTCGGAGTACCACTCATTGTTTAACTTGGAAGCGTTCTGACCAAAGCTGAACAAGAGCGAATTGAAAGAGACTACAATAAACCATTATCAACAACTGTTGGACACTGCTTCTCACAAAGTTGCTGAAAACCCTTTTGCGGCCCACGACAGGTTCCGCACCTCTTGAAGCTCATCAGGTAGGCGCAGTGCCCGAGGCCCCGTTAACAGTATGTTCTGCTTGAACAGACTCAGTTGAATCTCTAGTTTATGATATTCTACAACTGAATGTGCTGCACACAGGCCGCCTTATGCTTTAGTTGACACGATATTCGAAATATCGCAGTATATTTTCATTAAGAAAACTACTCACAAAGTTGCTGAAAACTCTTCGACAGCTCACGACCGGTTTCGCCCTTCTTGGGGCTCATCAGGTAGGCTCACTATCCGAGTTTCCATTAACCTTACGTTCTACTGGAACCCAAATTGGACTGTTTTCGAGAAATACACTTATTTGCTTGTCAGTTTGACTTTGACAGAAGTCTCGCCCGGAGCCCGGCGAACTCCTTATCCATGACGTTTTTTAGGCAAATGAGTGTATTTCGCTAATTTCGTGAAATTTATGTTCAAGTAGAGCATCAGATTGACGGAAACTCGCGGACTCTGCCAACCTGGTTAGCTCAGAGGGAACAAAATTGGTCGTGGGCTGTCGAGGGGTCTTCAGTAACCTTGTGAGTAGTTTCCTTTATGAAAGTATACTGCGATATCTCGGATATCGTACTACCCGAAACATGGAGCTGTCTTTATGCAGTGTATTCAACTAGAGAATATCATAACTGAGAGATTCAATTGCGTCTACATGAAAACCCAATTGATATGTAAATGAATGTAGTTGTCGCAAACACTGGAACTTATTCTGATTACAATTACTAGTATTCTCCGTCCGACATTGAGGCCTTTAACAGGTTCCCTTCAACTGAGGCTAAGTATCCTTCTTTTTTTCAAAGGTATTCTCTGGTGGAAGGAGAGTTTCTCTGTCCAAAGTCACTTTATCCAACCGAGGTGAGAACGCACAATATCTCACCACTGTTTCAATCCGCTGGTAAATCTGCTCAGAAATCAACCGGGATGACTTTCCTTTGGTAACGATGCTTTTGAAAATCCGTCTGGAGAAGAGCTGAGGGTGACAAACGGGTTGATTTGATTTTTGAGTGACAGGTTGGACAATCCGATAGGATTTTAGACAAATAAACATAGAAACAGAAAAAAAATACCCACGGTTCATCCCCCAACACATGGCCCAGATACTGACAAACAGAAGTGGGAAACAGACGATGGGAAACACGTCCGTTCAAGTGCGTAGCATTTTACGCATCGTTTGTGGCAGTCGTGGGAAGCCTAATAAGATAAACACTTGTCAGTCTGCGGCAAATACACATAGGGTTCAAGTAGAATATAAGGCTGTAAACACTTGTCAGTCTGCGGCAAATACACACAGGGTTCAAGTAGAATATAAGAATGTCGGAAACTCGAGGACCACGTAAAGGTTGACGGAAACTCGGGGACTGCGCCTACCTGGTGAGCCCAAGAAGGGCGAAACCGGTCGTGGGCTGTCGAAGAGTTTTCAGCCACCTTGTGAGTAGTTTCATTTATGAAAATACACAGCGATATCTCGAATATCGTACCAACTGAAACATGAGGTGGCCTGCGTACAGCACATTCAGTTGAAGAATTTCATAAATGAGAGGTTCAGTTGAGTCTATCGTGAAAACCAAATTGATTTGCACATGAGTGTATTTCTCGGAAACAGTCCAATTTGGGTTCAAGTAGAACATAAGGTTGATGGGACCACGCCCATCTAATGAGCCCCAAGAAGAGCGAAACCGGTCGTGAGCTATCGATGCGCTTTCAGCGAGCTTGTGAGTAATGTGTTGCGTCTATACATGTAGCGGAGGATCCCGAATATCGTACCAACTGAAACATGAGGTGGCCTGTGTGTAGCACATTCAGTTGCTTATAAACATCACGAACGCGAGATTCAGATGGCTTTCAGGTGAATCTACCGCAAATCTAAAGTGGTTTGCAAATGAGTGCATTTA